GGAAGCTGAGGTAGGAGGATTCCCAAGTTCAACGCCAACCTCAGTAACTTAGCAAGGCCCTGAGCAACTTAGAAAGACCTTGTCTTAAAAAATAAAAATAAAAAAATAAATGGGCTGGGGCTGGGGATGTAGCTCAGTGGTTAAGCACTGCTGGGTTCAATCCCTGGCACAAAAAAAAAAAGAAAAAAAAAATCAAAATCCGTTCTTTCAGCTTTGGGGATATATGGCACATAATTGAAACTTTGTTTTACGCATGAGATTATGAAGAAATTGCATACCAGAATTTCTTGCTACTATCTAACTGTAACTTAGTCCCCTTTGATCATCCTTTCTCATCCCTCCCTTCCCCTTTTTCTCCCAGCCTCTGGTAACCACTGTTCTGWTCTCCACTTCTATCAGCTTTTCAATATTCCACATGAGTGAGATCATATGGTATTCATCTTTCTGTGACTAGCTTCTTCTTCACACAATGACCTCCAGTTCCATCTATATTGACACAAATGACAGGATTTTTTCCTTTTTTTTTTTTAATGGGTGAAATCCTATTCTACCATGTATGAATCTTACATTTTCTTTATCCATTCACTAGTTGTTGGACATTTAGGTTGATTCTACTTCTTGGCTATTATGATCAACACAGTAAAAAAATCTTGGGAGTATGGATGTTTCTTGGACATACTGAGTRCATTTCCTCTGGCTATATAACCAGTGGTGGGAATATGGGATCATGTGGTAGTTCTATTTTTAATTTTTGKTTTTTTTTAAAATGTTTCCTCCAGTCATCTGCCTAATTAATAGTAGTTTTTGTCTTAGAAGTCTCTTTGCTTTTATCAACTCAGATCATTTGTTATGAATGTACACTGCTCTAGTCCTTCAAAAAAGCCTATTGCATATTTTTACCATGTCATTTATAGGCTCTTTTCTAGACTTTCTGACAGTGTTAATATCATCTTTACTATTATCACCATCATCTTGACTTAGGATTTTTTTGTTTGTTTTTGGGTTTTGGTACTGTGTATGGGTTGAACCCAGAAGCACTTTACCACTGATTCACATCCCTGGTCCTTTTTATTTTAAGACAGTTTCTCATGAAGTTACTTAGGGCCTCACTTAATTGCTGAGGCTGCCCTCAAACTTGCAATCCTCCTGCCTCAGCCTCTTGAGTAACTAGATTATAGGCATACTCTCCGTCGGGCTCTGATAAAGTACCTTGGGTTTTCTTATGTTACCTTAATCAACTTATTAAATGTTTGGTTTCCTTCCATTTTCAGTTCATGTTTATCTTTTTTGTTTTGTTCAGTGTCATGAGCTTTCTATGACACTAATGGACCAACTCAAAATACAATCAAGATCTTCATTTTTAGCTTTATGCAGCATTTTTCTATTTTCCATTGACTGTTTATTACTTTCAAGATAGAGCTTCAATAATGTGTCCTTCTGTTTCTTGAGGTCATGTGTAATAGTCGTTCCTTACTCTTCTGGAAGATGTTTCTCACTTTACACTGCTGTCCTCTTTCTCCTACAGCTTTGCTTTCCTCGGTGTGGATAAACATAAATGCTTCCCCTTTTTTCTTATTGGCCTTATCTAAATGAAAATCACATACACAGTGGATAATGTACACAGGTCTTGGCCCAACAAGGTTCTTGGAGAAAAAAATAACATTTATTCWTAAAGGAAAACAGATGGTTGGTAAGTAAAGAATAAAGGGTAGAGRTACCCCAGGTGGTAGAAATAGAATATATAATGAATATCAAAATATCTTAATGTAGTGGTAACATACTCATAAATGAACAACTTAAAGATCTTCCAATGTAGGGCCATGATGAAATGCAACAGGTAATGTTTAATAACTTTAAATTTATTCAATTAAAAACATCATGCTGGGCTGAGGATGTAGGTTTTGCCTTGCATTCTTGAGATCCTAGGTTGAATCCCCAGCAGTGCAAAACAAACAAATCATGCTTCATTCTGATACTGATACCATTCCTATTTTGGGGGTGCTAAGCTGTCATCTTCTCAAACGAGTGACAGCACATGGTAATGTGATTTAAAATAAACAAAAACAACTTTTGCAAAATAAAAGGTTTTCAATTTTCTGTTGATCCCTAAAATTCTGAATGAAATAAAGTTCATTCCCCTATTCTATACAAACATTTAATTTTCCTTCTTTTTGGTTAAAAAAAATCCCAATACTCAAAGTCTATAGGAAACTCTGATTTGTTAGTCCAGAGTTAACTGTTCTAGTAACATCTGAAATAAGGAAACATAAACCCTTGGCCTTTTGAAATTCTAGTTAACTGTCCAATATTTATCTTTATAGAAARTCCTTTCTGAACTGTTAAGCACCATTTTAAGGACCCAATGTTGGTGCTTCTTTTGCCAACTTATTTTGAAATCTGGCTTCATTTTTAAATTTTCTTTTCTTTCTTCCTCTCCTCCCCCTCCTTCCCTCCCTCTCTCTCCCCCCTCTGACCTCCCCCTCCCTCCCGCCCCTCCCTTTTTTCTCCTCTCCTCCCTCCCCCTCCCTCCCTCCTCTCTCCTCCCCCTTTCCCTCCCTCTCTTTCTCTCTCCCCCCTCCTCCTTCACCTTCCCTCTCTCCCTCCCTCCCCCTCCCTCTCTCTCTTCCCCTCTCCCTCTCTCTCCCCCCTCCTCAC